ACACACAAAACCCCGCAGACCCGTTTAAATGAGTTTCGGGTCTAAACAGAGAAACACGTAAACACATGACGTCACCGGCAGCTGCTCGGATAAAAGGAGGGAAACGGAGTCTCCGGTGAAGCGGCCTCACAGGTCGGTACCGGCCGGTGATGACCGGGGGTCCACCGCTGCGGGGGGGGGGTCCACCGCTGCGGGGGGGGGGTTCACCGGAGAGGACACGTGGTCGGAGGTTACAGACTCTGCTTCCAACGGCACGAGGATCGAAACGGGACCAGAGACAAAGAACCAGGAGCGACTGAGTTTCCACTCTGACCCGCTGCTCCTCCGCCTCTGACCGGGACCAGAGCTCCGGTCAGAGGCGGACCAGAGCTCCGGTCCGACGGTGTGATCAGACCAGGACAGAGGGCGGGGGAACAGGGGAGACCGCGGGAGTTTCGTCCATGTTGAAGAAGCCGTTTTCTGGGTCAACATGTCGGACTCGTCGCTTCTGTGTGGGGGGGAAACACTCACCTCCGCCGGGTTCCGGCTCCTCAGCTCCACGCTCACCCGCTTCTTCATGTCCATGCTGCGGTCCGACAGTGCGCGTGAGGCCGCTGCACTGAACTGAGGCTCCGGCGTCAGGCGGCAACTACACCTCCATGTTCCACAGCAGGCCCCGCCTCCTCACCCTGAGCTCCTATTGGATGAAAGATGAGTCACTCAGCAGACCACGCCCCCAGCTGCTGAGATTGGCCAGAAGAGCAGCGGCTGTGACCAATCAATGGACGAAGATGATACGTTCAAACGTCATACACGCCCACTCTTTGTCATTGTTGGCGCCATTTATGACACATTCAGGTTCCCTCGGTCTTTTCACTGCTGAAGCTTATAGGTTTAAAAAGGTATATTTACTGTGTTTATACTCTTTAACCCAGTGAATTTATATATTTGAATTAATAATTAAAACAATACAGTAATGATCAAACTATTTTCTATTGAGATGACATGTCAAATGGTTAGCCCTCTATGTTGCAGAGGAAATTTTATTTTCTGATTCAAATAAAAAGTCATTCAGCATCAAATTGGAGAATTAATCAATAAAATAGTTGAATAAAGAAACAGCGATTTTATAATAAAAGTTTATTTTGAAGAAACAGCAGATGTTATACACACTTTCAGTATAAAAGAGTCACAGCATAAACAGGTTGTGATGTCATGAGGAGCAGGAAATCAATTTTGGTAGATAATCAATAAAAGTCAACATAAATAAACCTTGAGGTTAAAGGAGCAGTGATGTCAGAGTCAAACTGAAGTTAAATGATGCTTTGAATCTGAAACCTTCACTTATTTCATTACAAAATGTATTCAGTTCATTACTAAAATTCAAATATACAAATATTTATCATTAAACATGTTTCCTGATGTTCAACTGTCAAATAATTTCCAGAATCAAACTAGTGAATCTCCACGAGGAAATCTACAGACGCAAACAGACAGTGAAGAAAAGGAAAATGATCAAATCTGAAACTGAGCAGAGACAAAGATCAGTGTCACATCTGAGCAATCAATGAAGACTTAGATAACACTGAGACGATCCTGTGAGCTTAACTTATTCTGTGGAGTTTTACTTTGAAAATACCTGATAGCTATAAAGCAGTGACTTCCTGTAATGTCAGGAGACCTAGGCCCTGAACTATGAAGCAGGATTTGTGGTTATCAGAGAACTTCAGGAGTTTTCAGTCCTATGCAGCTCGTTCACTAGTTATCGGGGTAAATCACCATGGTAACTTGTGCTGAACAGATAACCTGCTCCAGGTTAATTTGTTGATAATAGATCAAACAGTATAAAGCTCCGCCCACTGACCACGTAATATATTTTTACCCAGCTGTCCATGCCTGTGATTGGTCATATGCAGTGCGCACTCTACAGTAAAACCTGAGTTAACTTAATGAGTTGATAACCAGCATCATGTGACCACTGAGCCTGACTGTGTCATTAAGTTAAGTTCAGCTGAATAAAGAGATCCTGGATATGTAGAACTCTCTCTGTAGTACAGGCTCCACTTCTGGCTCTGGTTCTACAACAGGAAATCTTTATGTTCTGTTATTCAGTGGACTGACCTTTTAATATGTGACTGGTATCCATGGAAACTTATTTGATTGACAGGAGGAATAAGGTGCTGCTGTTGGTTGATTGTCTGAAGCCGACCGATGAGCAATGGAGTGTTGTTTACAACTGTGTGTAGGAGCATGAGGTGGGCAGGGCTTATAGAAACATCTCACACACACCTGTTGCGGGGTGTCAGAGCACATGCTCTTGTGGCGGCAACATGTGCAGCACCTGGTCAAGCAGCTGCAGGGCCCGGTATAGGTGAACCTCCAGCCAGCAGGGGGTGTCTTTGATGCTCTGTCGTGGGTAGTCACACCCCCAACCTTTAACGAAGCTCAGACGCACGATACACAACCTGCGCAGGTCGTCCACACCCAGACCTGCCGGTGTACACACACCTGGAGGAGGACAGGAAATTCACACAGTCACAACACACAACCCCTGTCTAACACAGCTTTTATTTTGAAATATTTAGGATAACATTAGATCCCAGAGGCCTGAACTAAGAAGCAAGATTTGTGGTTATCAGGTTAAGTTCAGGTTTGATTCAGGTAAACACCAGGTTTAATTCAGAGTTTTCAGTCCCATGAAGCTGGTTCCCTTGTTACCGGGTAAATCACCATGGTACGACATGTGACCACTTGGCCTGACTGTGATTGTAAGGTTACGTTCAGCTGGACCTCAGAAAGAGATCCTGGATATGTTGAACTTACTTCGTAGTTTAGGCCTCAGGTCTCCCTGTGTGGATGTCAGACACATCGCATGAGCACCAGAGAGAGAGAGACAGCTGATACTCACCGACAGCAGGGGCGACTCCTCCAACACTGTTCGGGCCGGGAATCGAACCAATAAGCACAGTGGCCTGAGCTGCTGCTGCTTGCCGCTGCATCTGTCTGTGGCACTGCCGCAAGTCGAATACCTGGACAGACGGATAAGAGACAGCCAGGTGAGAGACAGACAGGTACACCAGAGTGTTGTCTTTATATTGACACACTCACCTTAATACAAGCTCCCGGGTAGATCTTACGAACTCTGTCTCCAGGTGCTCCGCTGGCCTCACAATCCAGGTAGTAACTCTGAATGAACACAGAGTGGTCGCTAAGGCAACGCATCCAGACATCTCCCTCCCCCCGACACTCCAGCTGAACTCCTCGACCGATGTGAAGCCTGCAAGAAGAAGATGCAGAGTAATAATGAGGGAGACAGACGGCTGTAGGAGTACTACCCCTCGCCGTCAGGCTGACCTCACCTAGCACGGTGGCTGGTGGCACTGCGATGGACGTTGCTCAGCTGTCCCAGACAGAAACGATCTCCTCCTGAGGGATCCACGTATCCATCCACAGTCACCAGGGGATAGCTGGACTGGACCTTAAAAATCTCTCCAACCTGGATGTCCAACTCAAAGTAAGAGATCGAACACCAGAACTCTGGACCTGAGACACGTTGGGGACAGAGATGTCAGAAGAGAGGACGTGTTTTGAAGGTGATGACACTGGGGTAGATTTCATACCGGGGTGGTTGGACACAGGTTGTGGATACGGAGTGGTGCTGTGATGCTGAGACCCTGCAGGAACAAACACTCACACTCAGTGCGACGTTCCACAGAACCACACTAACATTTCCCATGGTCACATGATCTCGTACAGAAGCAAGTATTAGGGGAGTGATGAGAATGATGTAATGGAGGCTGCTGGTGGCTCCGCCTACTCTGTAGAGGTCCTACATCACTGTAGCGGGCGAAGTCATTACCTGTCCAGGTGGCTGCAAAAACATAAGACAAACATCATCATTTCTGCCACGAATAACTTGATTACTTCTACTGCTTCAACTAGTACCCACTGTACTTGTATTAGAAGGGTTGCTGTACTCTGGGCTCTGCTGGTGTGTTGTGGTTGGAGTGGACAGGTGAGGAGGCTGAGGGGTGATCGGAGGATTCCATTTAGGTGGCGAGGCCCGACCCCCCTGGCTCTGAGACAGGTCAATCTGAAGGCCTCCCGGGCCCTCACCGCCAACACCCACAGCCCCTACCTCCCCACTAATGCCTCTTCTACCACACATGGAGCTGCTGCCTGCAGGAGAAATGACAGAGTCAGAACCAACCATCCAGAACCACTCAGAACGGAATGGAGGCTGACGTGCCACGGTAAGCACATTGCATCATTTCCTGTTTTCCTACTGCTGGTGGTGGTCACTCTCACTGAACTGCCACCGCAAAATCTGATCATTTCTATATTACCTTGGCTAATCGCTGATCTACAGTTAAATATTGACTTATATCACTCCCTACTCTCTAGTGCTCTAGCGACTGTGTTGAGCCCACCCTCATAAGCTAACACCTTACAGCCATGGCTTCTCTCCCTCCCTTTTGTTCTGCTGCTCTAAGTGTCTAATGTTCACTTACTCCTCTGCCTCCTTTAACAGTAGTGGTACATGTAATAAATGTAGTGTATTGGCAGCGATGGACGCAAGGCTTAGCAGTTTGGAAGCTTGGCTCCACAGCTGAGAACCTTTGTTAGCTGTAGTTAGCCAGCCCCTGTTAGCCGGCACAGAGCCAGCTAGCTTAGTCACTGTTATGATACCATCAGTAATTCCTCAGTTCATGTGTCTGCTCCTTCATCTCTATCAGACATGTTCTCATGTACAAATACTTTAAACCTGAAGTTACAAACTGTTTCTTCTGATGTAGTGAATCTGTTGTTGTGTTGATGTCGGCCATGGCTCAGCGGTAGAGCAGGTCGTCCAATAATCAGAAGGTTGAAACACGCATCTGTCAATGCGTGTTTCAACAGGTGCCAACTGGATGGGTTAAATGCAGAGAACAATTTCATGTATGCATGTAAAGTGTTAACTTGACTATAGAAGTAAATCTTCTTCTTCAGTTCATCAGCATCTATTGTCCTCATGTCCTGGAGACGGAGCCTCACATGTGACTCTGAGCTTCAGTTACTGCTCAGAAAGTATTTTGGTAGTTTTACAAATAAAATCGGATTGATTGATTGATTAAGAACCATCCAGAACCACTCAGATGATTCAAAACAATCACATGGTAATTTAGAGATAATATAAAAAGTTTGTTCAAAGTGACCTGGAGGTGACAGTGGCATGCTGGGATACATGTTGACAGGACGGGGCTGGTTGTAGGGGTCAGAGTGGGGGGGCAGCTCAATCTTCAGACAGTCCTGAATGAACTCCTCCTTTATCAGAGTGTGAGGACCTGAATGAAGACAGCATGTGATGTTATTGATAGTGTTACATGAAGCTATGCAACATTATCTTACAATAAATGAAGCTAAGCTTTATGAAGCTACAGTACATGATGCCAAGCTACAAGACGCTAAGCTACATGAAACTAAGCTACGTGATGCTACGTTACATGAACCTAAGCTACATACAGTTAAGCTATGTGAAGCTAAGCTATGTAACATCAAGCTACATGATGTGACTTTTTTGCACTAATGTATCAGAACATTTGATCCATGTGATAAAATTTAAAATTAAAATTAAAATAAATTAATGAAACTTAATGAAACATGGCTGCCAAAGAGAAAAACTTTTAGTATAAATACCCTGTGCATGAGGTGAGACAGGTGAGTGTCTACCTGCGGTGGTGGGAGACGCCACCCTCTCGTAGTGATAGGGGTTCACACACACACTGTCGTACTTCAGGTCAAACGCAAACTGACAGAACTTCATGTGTTTGAGTTCGTTCTTATGGAGGTCGGGCCAACGCCACAGACGAGTGTAGATCACATGAGGGAAACCCTTTCTACCTGCTACCTGTGAGAGACAGACAGGTGAGAGACAGACAGGTGAGGGACAGACAGGAGAGAGACAGACAGACAGGTGAGAGACAGTCAGACAGACAGGTGAGAGACAGACAGGAGAGAGAGACAGACAGGAGAGATACAGACAGGAGAGAGAGACTGACTACTGTGTTCACACTTCTCCTGGATTTATACTTTATGCAGGAGCTCAGAAGGAGAAAGAGAAACTGAGTCTCACTGTGACATTTGTGTTCATCCTCCAGGGAAGATACAGAGAACTGAAGAGTTCAGGTCTGAAGCTCATATCGAACCTCCTAGAGAACCTCACAGAGAACCTCACAGAGAACCTCACAGAGAACCTCCTAGAGAACCTCACAGAGAACCTC